CTAGCTCTTCAATTCTCAAATGTTTGTGGTACTTGTTAAAATAGCTTTCAAGTAAATATTGATGCATTTAATATTTTCCCAGCAGCAATCATAATTTGTAATGAACACTGTAAGAATCTGAAGTGCCTAGACTGAATTGTTTTTACTTACGATATCTAGATTTTTTTCTTCAAACGAATTCTATGTAGCTGATATTTGGTCATATTTCCAATTAAAAAATTATACCATATTTCCTGATTCATGGACAAAAAATTATAATTGAAATAGTTGTGCCAATAAATTAAAGATGGTTATTTTTTTTTAAGAAGTATGTGAGTTGTTGAACGTTTTCATCTACAGATTCGGCCAATTCTTTTACATAAATTTACTTATCACAACCAAATCACCCCAAATTCCCAACTTCAAGCCTTAAGCCAAATTTTTTCCTTCTTTGAACTTATCACGGCCAAATCACCCCAAACCTAGAAAAAAAGGAAAATTCCAAATCCTAAAGGTATATGTGGATCATTAAATTATTACTAAAATACTGGGAAAAATCTGTTGACAGGTTTCACTGTCTAAGATATTTTATTTCTAGATCGTTTAACTTCATTAATTGTCACACCCAAATGGATCTTTTTTTGATTACTCAGCAAGAAACAAGATATTGGTTTGATGTACGTAGATCTTCTATACAAACTAAAATATTCATCAACTCTATTAACATGTTTGAATAAGTAGATTCAAGTACTTATATAGGCATATTCTGTTTAAAAATGTCAAGTGGTTTAATAATACAAGAATACGAAAATTCAACATATAGAAGTACAGTTAATGTATGATTAATTAAGTACATACATCTACTAATTTCTAAATAAAGAGAATTAGGTTTAACAATATGTCAATGTTTGCTAATTACACAAACATTGAAGAGAGATCTATGGCTTAAGTTGAGAGGGTCAGTGTGAAATTTTTGCCCAGCACTTACAGAGATCCAAAATTTCACTCATCCGCTTATAATTACTAGTAAAATGTAAGAAATTTGATACAGTACTAAAGTAGAAAACATTTAGCAAAAAAAGTACAACATTGATAAGAAACACATATAAACTTCTATCCCTAGCTGATGATCATGGACAATATTCCTTTAACTAGCTCAATGACCTACTAATCCAATTGCTGGAAGTCAATTTAATTAGTAATATTATAGGCAAATAAAAGATGAGTACACCAATAAAAATTATAAATATGTGCCACAATTAAAAAAAAAGCGGATGACCCATAATATCTTAAGTACTAAACAGAGTTATATAGATAAAAATATAATAGAAATATAAAAGCAATTTTAAATTAGAACTACTAAATTAAAGTGACTATACAGAAGAAGGTACACTAAACTGTTGAGTAAGAAAACAAATAAGATGATCAAGAACATTTATAAGATATATACAAAAAAAAAGAAAAAAAAGAGATAAAACTCATTATTAACTTAAAACATGTGATTATTATAGCATAACAGTGCTACAACATTGAGACTGTAATTATATGATACAATAAATCATTAATCAAAACATATAAGAATAATCAAAACACAAAAGATTGTTAGAGGTTATTTGGAGTTAAAGGTTTATACTTATATAAAATAAAGATAACCATTTAGATTATAATATGTTAACAATCATGTTATAAAAAAAAATCTATGTTATATAAAATGAATAGTAATTATCGAAATAAATAATTCTATGATTGAATGTTTATTATTTGATTTTATTGTTAACAGCAATATATGGTATACCACCAGAAACACACCTCTTGTTACACAATACAGTCCTGCATAACACTTTAAACTTGGGGCTTTTGGGGCTATGTAATGGTAAACAGACAATAGATCAATAAAATGAAAGGCAATTTAAGTCTCCGTTTATACTTAGACCTTTAACACGGTGCGTAATCGTTCCGGGCTGATTTGGAATATTTTCCCGTTCCTGAACTGATTTGGATTTTTTTCACCGGATTGATTCAAATAAAATGGATTTTTAGCTTGACAAGGTAAGAAAATATATAAAATAAGCACATTTACATCTGTAAGTCTTTGAATATTCTACTTGCACGGAACATTGCAATGGTTAAGGAATTCATATACAACTTTATAAGGTTTTTTAATGGTCTTTTATGAGTTAGAATTGGAAAACAAATTTCACATGTCAGTGAAGTTATGGCAAACATGAGCATAAAATTGCCAAAAAGTCATTATTATCTATGATTTTCCGAGTATTTCATGATCAACTAAAGAAAAAAATCATTCCGCGATAATTTAATGGTTTTTGTTTAATGTTTTATCCAGTAATAAATTTGTAGTACGTATTTTTATGACAACCCTGTAAACATATTAGGGCACCGGATTGATTCATATTAAGGGAAAACAAGGCAACGGGCTGATTTTAGACTTGAAGTTCACTGGAACTCTCAATCAATCACAGAATTCTAATGTTAAACAAAGGCACTTCACTAAAATTTTAAAATCAAGATGTATATACATATTAAAGGTATAACTTATACACGTAGTTGCAAAATTAATACTAGTAGTCAAAGTCAAAGCAACATACGTTTATATATAAAACTATTGGCTGATTCATAGTCTTGTCAAAGTGTTGTATTATACGGAGGAATTGGAATATAACTATATAGTAAGTGTAGCGAAGGTACATGTGGAACAAACATTTATGGATGACCGTAATGTGCTTCTATAGAAAGTATTAAGGCTTCCTTTTATATATGTACATACGAATTTACAATCAATGTATGGTGCGAATTGTCGAGAAGATGAACCTAAAGGTTTTCGATTTCGAGTTATGTTTACCTACAAATGAATTGGAAAATAGGAAAAAAAAGTTTATTCGGCTCTTCCATATTTCATTGATAGTTAATTTTAATGTCATGGCATTTAATTATCTGATTATGACATTTGCAAATATTTGTTTATATTACATTGGGACCATACGCCGCTTTTCATGGAATGGCACGGTAGTGTCACATTGAAGGTTCCATGATAACCACCGTATGAACACATCTGCGGATGTTTCTAAATTCAAAATTTTACCATTTCATGTTTAAATGTTGAATTCTGCTTAAGCCGGTGCTAGGGGGCGTGGACGGTAGTTTGCACTTTACAGTACCGTCCATGAACAGGCTCAATCAAACCGAGCCTGCAACATTTTCAATTTTGCCGTGTTGGGCTTTCTTTAGGGATTCTGTATTTATCTATTAAGTGAGTGCCAAAAGCAGGCCCAAAACACCAAACAATCTAGAACCGTAACTGTGATATTATATATACTATATATACACATTTTGATTGACTATTTCTGAAAGGAAATTTCAGCATAAATATTTAGCTACCAATATGTGGAAATATGCCTCAATCTAATAACGGAATATCCTATAAATAATAAACAGGAAAATCCTTTTACCTGGATATATCAATACTTTAAGATGAAACAAATCTACCATCACTACTATATAGTTATATCCCAATCGCTCTGTATTTAACAACACTTTGACAAAACTATAGATCTGTCGATAGTTTCATACATTTACGTATGTTGCTTTGACTTTGCAAACTGGCATTTGCAACCTTTAAACTAAATTTTTGACATTACAATGTATATATTTAATATATAATTTAATATAATTATAGTTTTAATGTTTCAATACTTAATTACAAGTTGTATTTATGTTAATACAAATTCATAGATTATAGAAAAATGTCTTTGTTAAACATGAGATTAAGAGTTGTAGTGAGCTCTAAGCGTAAAATCAGCCCGTTGCCTTGTTTTCCCTTAATATGAATCAATCCGGTGCCCTAAAAAAATTACAGGGTTGTCAAAAAATACGCATGACAAATTCGTTACTGGACAAAACATTTTACTAAAACCATTAAATTATCGCGAAATGATTTTTTTCTTTAGTTCATCATGGAATTCTTGAAAAATCATATATAATAATGACTTTTTGGCAATTTTATGCTACTGTTTGCGACTACTTCACTGACATGTGAAATTTGTTTTCCGATTCCAACTCATAAAAGACCATTAAAAAACCTTATAAAGTTGTATATGAATTCCTTAACCATTGCAATGTTCCGTGCAAGTAGAATATTCAAAGACTTACAGATGTAAATGTGCTTATTTTATATATTTTCTTACCTTGTCAAGCTAAAAATCCATCTTATCTGAATCAATCCGGTGAAAAAAATCCAAATCAGTTCAGGAACGGGAAAATATTCCAAATCAGTCCGGAACGATTACGCACCGTGTTTAAGTCCATTTTGGTAGAAAGTCAATGCTTCAATCTATCTTTCCTATCATACTTTATTATATGAACTGTACATGGCCGAGTGGTTAAGGTCGTTGACTTCAAACCACTTGCCCCTCACCGCTGTGGGTTCGAATCACTACAGGGACTTTGGATTCTTTCATGTGAGGAAGCTATCCAGGTAGCTTACGGAACATCAGTGGTTCTACTCAGGTGCCTGTGTGTGCCTGAAATAATGCACGGAAGGGCACCTAAGGTCTTCCTCCACCAGTAAAGCTGGAACGTCGCGAAATGACCTATACTGTGTCGCTGTGACGTAAAACCCAATCAAAACAAAACAAACAAAATATGAACTGTATCTTATAACACTAGTCTTTTTATTATTGACAGATTGGTAAGAAAGAAAAAAACTTCCAGATTTCTATATTGATAGAGTCAATTTGTATAATTTTTTTTTTTTTATAAATTTTAAAACTTCTAATAAATCTGCAGTGTGTTAAGGCCTTCATGGATAAAAATATTGTATATTGTTAAAGATGATTAGTCTAAAGATCTAACAATATAGTTAAGGTCAGGCTTACCCTTAAAATGAAAATTTTAAGGGTTTGTGCATACCCTTTACTTGAATTTTTTACGGTCATACATTTTTTTCTTATTAAATATATTGATATTTTCTTTTCAGACTCCCATATGATTGTTTTATTTTTCAGGAGCATACATTTTGGTAATGAAGTTTACTCCAGTCAACATGGTGATGATCTGCCCCTGGTGGAGTTAGCTCCCTTTAGTGATGAAATATTTGCTAGCTATTCAGGACCAGACGATGGGCTTGCCTTTGGTCTGGATAACAGGGCAAAAAGTAAGATTTGTTGAAACTATTTAAGTCTTGGAAACTGATGTATTTGTCATTGTTGAATTTTTTTGTTTAAAATTTAGACTTAATATGATTGTCTTTATGAAAGCTGCATTGATCTTGGTCTTAATTTGTTTAATGCAGGCAACTTAAGATTTTAATTAAAACATGAAACTTAAAAGATTGATAGATAGGAGGTCTCATTGGGAAGAAGTTCAGTTAAAAGAACCATCACTTTCTTTTGCATAATTTTGGAGAAATTGCTCATTGTAGGTTTTATTTTTGTTTTACTTTACTGTTCATATACCCAGATGTTCTCTGCTCATATACCCATTTGTTATTTGAGTGGCTAGACCAATGCTTGGCGCTATATCAGTGTTCGAAATTGGCAATAGTCCGATAGCCCCTGACTACTAAATTGCTCCTCGGGCTACCAACTTTTCACAGTAACAAGCCCAGCCAGGCTACTTTATTTTCAGAAGCAATATAAACAACTGTTTTGAACAAATGAATCGTGCTATAATAATGTATTTTGGGCTAGTGAATATTCCAATCTGGTAGTCCGACCAGCCTAGTCGATTCAAATCCGAATTTCTTACACTGCTATATGGTAGCAAATGTTATTAAAAAGAGAATAATTGTTAACTTATCAAATCAAATTAAATGTTTCTATTTGTTAGTTATCTATGAACTCATTCCTGTAATGGTTTCATTGAAAAATATCATTAATGTTGTTATTTTCAGACATTGACGGTGAGGTTGCAGGCTCACAGAGATGGAATATAAAGGCCCAGAAGGCCTATGGTATCTGTATATCACTGTACGAGCAACATCCAGTCAGTGGCAAAATGTCAGGTATATATTTATGTTGTGTGGCCCTTAGTATGTTTTAATTAGTCCCCTACCGGTTTACCGGAGGGGACTTTAGGTTTACCCTCCGTCCGTCTGTCCGCACTCACAGGAGAGTAATTATGTGGCTAGAGGGACAATAGGTTCTCTTTGATGTCATTCATTCCGTAATGCTTTTATGTGGCTATTTTCTTTTGCGTGGCTTAAAAGAATAATAGAGAGAACAATAGAGTAGCCACATAATTACTGTCCTGTGAGAACGTCCGTCCATCTGTCCATTCGTCCGTCCGTCCGTCTGTCAGTCCGTCAGTCCGTCCGCCCACAAAACTGGATCCTGAAAATATTTTTATGAAACTTGGTATATGGATAGAAGGCAGTATGGAGATTATGCACGTCTTTTTCTCTTCTTCCTGTGTTGAAAATTCTGGTTGCTATGGCAACAAATAGGCTGAAAATATGGCAAATTTTACACATAAACTGGATCCAGTGATAACGCAAAAAGTACTGGAAATATTTTTATGAAACTTGACATATGGGTAGATGGCAGTCTTGAGATTATGCACGTCTTTTTCTTTTCTTCCTATGTTGAAAATTCTGGTTGCTATGGCAACAAATAGGCTGAAAATATGGCAAATTTTACACATAAACTGGATCCAGTGATAAAGCAAAAAGGACTGGAAATAGTTTATGAAACTTGACATATGGGTAGATGGCAGTCTTGAGATTATGCACGTCTTTTTCTTTTCTTCCTATGTTAAAAATTCTGGTTGCTATGGCAACATATAGTCTGAAAATATGGCAAATTTTACACATAAACTGGATCCAGTGATAACGCAAAAAATACTGGAAATATTTTTATGAAACTTGGTATATGGATAGATGGCAGTATGGAGATTATGCACGTCTTTTTCTTTTCTTCTTATGTTGAAAATTCTGGTTGCTATGGCAACAAATAGGCTGAAAATATGGCAAATTTTACACATAAACTGGATCCAGTGATAACTCAAAAAGTACTGGAAATATTTTTATGAAACTTGACATATGGGTAGATAGCAGTCTTGAGATTATGCATGTCTTATCTGTTCTTCCTATTTTGAAAAAATATCAGTTGCTATGGCAACAAATAGGCTTAAAACATGGCAAATATAACAATATTTGTGATTAGTCAAAAAGAGATGAAAATTTTTATGAAATTGCATCTTTAATTCAAGGGTTATCTCCTCTTTAAGAATTTTGCTTTTAAAATGTTATATTTTGGTAACAGGGATGTTTCATATATTAACTTTAGAGTGTCCTTCAGTCCGTCTGTCTGTCTGTTCATAAAAACTGTTCCTGTGATCACTTTTAAAGAACTTTTCCAACAAATTTACTTAAAATTGAGAAAAATTGAAACATTTGTGAATGGCCAATGGCCCTTCAGAATGTTGATGGGGTTCTAACCGGTAGGGGACTTATGGATTGCTTGCAATACTATGATAATTGCTTGTTTTTTTAAGAATATCACAAATAAAGTGACAGATCTGGAAAAACGTGTTTAGCACCGTTATTAGTTTGATTTTTAAAAGTAATGAAAATTGAAAACCCCACTCTAAACCCCAGGATATTATGTAAAAGAACTGTTGATGCACTCTATTTTAAACATATTATTTTGATAAGAAATACAAGAAATGTAGCATTTTTAAAAATCTTGGGGTGTCTGTGGCCAAGTGGTTACAGTCACTGACCTCAAATTACATGTCCCTCACCCCAGAATATGTAAGAGTCCATTGACATTTTTTGTTTTCTTTGATATGAAGATGCTATCCACTGCATGATTTTGCCTGTAATTTCACATAGGTCTTCCTTCAACCAGAAAAAATGAAAAATGGCCATATTATGACCTTGACCATGTGTTAGTGTGACTTGACACCCTATGGGGAAAAAGAATTAAGAAAATATTCTATAATTCTGCTTTTTCAATGTGTTTTAGGTGGTTTAATTTGAAAACAGCATAACCATTCTTCAGTTATATAACAAGTATGTTTATATAATTATGTTTATATAAATGCACTTCAATCATGTTATAGATTTTTTTTCTTGATGAAAAACTGATTTATATTTCAAATCAAGAAACCAAGAGGATAAAAAGCATGGCAAACGGAAGTGGTTACTTAATTTTTAAAGTGTTAACATTAATAGCAGGTTTTAATTTTCTGTTTTATCTGATTTGTCAAGCAATTGATTTAACCACAAAGACTATTTTGAATGAATATAGTGTAACAATATGACATGCTTTATATAATAGGCGTGTTTCTTAAAGGGACTGCACTGAGGTTTAAAAGCCTAAAAACATAACATTTGAATTTCTTACATAAATGAGCTGGGGCACTATAAACAGAAATATATACAAAGAGAGTTAAGAAATATACTTTGAAATAAATTGAAAATTGTATTTGTAGGCTTTTCTTAGCCCGATTTTAGTGAAAAGTGTTTAAACACTTTTCATTTTGGGTCATTTTTTTACAATTTGAATAATTATTGTGGATAAACGAAGTGCGCGAATGATCTGAAATTTTGCACAAAGATTAGTGGTCTAAACCTACATCAAATGATACATTTATCTGGAAAAAATATTTTCAGTCCCATTATGTCAAAAAACCTCAGTGGAGTCCCTTAAAATTTTTTGAATGCAGTTTAAGATAATGATTTGGCGTATAATCCAAGACTGGGTTGGCCTAGTCGTTAAGGGGTTAAGTTGTTAGTCCTCTCAGCCCAGGAATCATGAGTTTAAGCCCTGTACTTTGGTTTCACAAGCATGTTTCCTCATGTTATGGCATACATATTACAAGTTTAATTAACCCTCAAAGTGTGCTGATGGCAACTGAATATACCCCTGCAAAAAGTGCAGACCAAGATCATTCGGTACATTGATGCTGTCTGCACTTTTTGGTTGGTTTCACAATTAAAGGTACATTATGCCCTATTTCATTTCTATTTCTCAAAAGCTTTCTATTTTTGATGTACTTTTACAGTTTCCAATTAAAAAAAAACAACAACTCATTGGCCAATTACTTTTCTTCTGTTACATTTTAGCATTAAGTACAGTTATAAGTATTTATTATTTTGTATTGAAGTCAAAATACCACTTTGTTTCACGTTTTAATGATTAAGCGCTACTTTAATCAGGAAACAAGCATTTAACATGCTCTGAATCATTTTGTGCTCTTTTTATACAAGTAAAATTTTATTTCTTTCCGAGGTATAATGTACCTTTGAGCTGTCTATATACTGATTGTATAGAGAAGATTATTATGAGTCCTTACATTCTAAAGGTTAAACCCTAAAACATTGTCAACTCTATAGATAGCAGTTTTATTTGTTTTAATGTAAAATTGCATTCCACAAAGAGAATATTCCCTTTGGAGAATAATGACTGCCTTTAATGAAAATGCCATTTTCTGTGGCTCAGATTTCAAAGTATTGGAAACATGATCATGTTGAATATTCCACGGAATAGCTTTGTTTGTTTCTATGTAGTTTAAAATCACCAATTTGGTTTTGTCTGTGAAAATTGTGCAATTGGTTTATAATACATCAATTTGTATGCTCCCTCATTAATCAATACATTTAGGGACATAGTATTTTGGTCTTTCAGTTTGCAGACATCTTCAGCAATAATTTTGCATTTTATAAGCAAGAGCCTTTTATAATTTAAAACAATTTTAACAATGTATGTGTTTTACGTAGGGTAATGGCTCACCCACAGTAAGGCACAATTGTAGTACTGACCCCAGACATATCACTGTCATCATGCCCTTAAAAGGGATAATTTTGAAACATAAAGTGGTGATAATTAACCGGCTATTTCCAAGGAGTATTCACCAAAGATCTTGCTTTTTGCAATTTGAGCAGAAAAGTAGGTCACTGTTAAGCAGCCAATGAGACCTGCAGCGTACATTTACCTGAGACAGTTACAGAAAAGTAACCCTTATAAGGGCTGTTATGTTAGCACAGGGTGCCGTTCAAGCCATCTCTTCATAGTAGGGGCTCATACACCCTACTCATGTTCATTGTTGCCCCTACCACTTGGCCACTTGCCGTCATTCAAGATGTCTATTTCATACTAGAGGCTTACATACCCTAGTACCCTCCCACTTTTTAGGGCCACTGCCCTTAACAACATTCAGAACATTGGTAGCTAGCTGGTCTTTGGATCCGAAGCTTGGTTTACTATTTGTTTTCCAAATTTAGTTCTGTAAATCTTTTACCAAAGTCATGTGCCCCTCTGTGATGTGCACACTCCAAGAGGCTGAGAGGGTTGGATGCAACAATTCTTTGAAAAGTGTGCTGTGTATTGAACATTTTACCTCATGCAGTGTTCATTAAATTTTATCCACCTATATCTTAGATATTGAATATGTATTTTCATTTTATAGGGACAGCAACCCTTTTGTGGTGATTCATTTCAGTAAGGTCAAGGTGACTAAAGTTAACAAATTTTCTACTTTTTAACTTCATAAAAACAGCATGTCAGAGTGGCATCAGGGAGCACCCATCAGTGTTTATCAATATGATATCTATATCCTTGTTGTTCATAAAAATCAATGTTGAATTCTATCTTAATCCAAACCCCTGAACTGAAGATAAGAGCACAATACAATTGAATTTTGATAAAATTATCAGCTAGAGATGTATCATGGCTTAATTGTCTAGTGATTTAGAAATGGTAGATTGTTTATGTAGACAGGCCAAATGAAAATTGATAGAATTTCCATTTACGTTCAAGAGAATGTAAATCTAAAAATTCAATCTTGGATTATAAAGATTTTAGATAAATACTCCTCAATTCCCTCCCATCCCATTTCTCAAAGAGCAAATTATAGAATGGAAAATTTCTAAATGCATTTTGTGTTTTTTGCATGTTTTGGTATTGATTTTCTTTGATAATAATTTGGTATAATACTGAAAGCTTTTGGTTCAGGTTTTATGCTTGGAACAATAATGGAAATTTTTTACAGGTTTATTCCCCGACAATCAGTGTAGTTTTTAGGCTAGCCTGAATATATTAGGCTGACCTGCATGTTACCTATGCAGATCGAGTGTAAGCTGCTATATTTAAGCATCTTGGTATTGACACCCTTAACTGTGAGGTTAGCTCAATAGGTAGAGAGTTGGACTGTGAATTGTGCATCCTGGATAAAGATTCCCATACGGAGTAGGTCACTTTCGTTGTGATTGATAAAAATTCTGTCTACGGTCATTCACACTATACCTCTGCTCTAACATGTGTTCCTTGGGAAAGTGAAGGCAACTTAATACTGGTATACTGCTTGACAGCCTGCCCAGGTGAGATGCCGTGGCTGAACTCTGCTCGTGTAAATTCAATGTCGCTTTCTGTCGTGATCTGGAGGTTAAAATACCACCACAACCCCTAATAACTAACAATGTTTCTTGATCTAAGCATCTTGGTACTCATCCCCTTATCCTAACAATGGATAGTTCTAAATTCCAATGAGGACAAGCCCAATTTTAGAAATTTATTAGGATAATAAAATGTTACTGCTCATAATAAAAATGATTTAGTGCTTGAAAGTTTGGCTGAGCACCAGATATGTGTTCATTTTCACAGAAATATTGTTCTTATCTGGACATCATCATCTTCATAAATCTTCCTAAATGGTGTACTTAACATGTTTCAAGACGCTCAAGTATGTGAAAACTGACGTTTCTTCTTCAGTGAAAAATGAATGAAATAAAAGTGTTATATGAATTGTCTTATAAACTTCAGACTTACGCTACTGGTATAATGCCTTGCCAGCCTGAATGCTCATCAGTGATGTCTGATCAGGCTTGGACTATTCTGTGGGCCACTTTATTTTTTAACACCCCTAACCTTTAATAATGGACAAAAACTTAACTGTTCTAAATTGTATGGTTTGAAGCAAATTTTTACTGTCCCTGAATTGTAAATTTTTGATAGAAAAATATCCCTTTGATGGTAGTGATGGTCAAGCTGAAAAGGTCACTGTATCTTCCTGTCAGTCAAAAATTGTTGGTTCGAGCCCTTACTCTGCCATATTTCTTCATATAAAGCAAGTACTGGTTAGCTGAAGAAAGTGTTAATGACTCAACAGTTTAAAGAAAGTACAAGATCTTGTTTCATGATTGAGCTTTAACAAATATATTTAACTTTATAACTCTAGATATCATAAAGAGATTTGTCCACACTTAAATCTTGACAAAACCATTCTTCACTGTTTTGGAAAATGTCAAAATTTGTACAAATTGAACAATCAGAACACTAAGATCTTGGTCTGCACTGGTTGCATGGGTAGCAGCAGGGTAAATGATATATGGAAAAAAACAACAGTTTAATTCCAGATTTTAGACGTTTGCGCTTTTCAAATAATCTAGTTTTGCTTGCGCTTTTCAAATAATCTAGTTTTGCCTGAAAATCACCATTATTCCTCCCACCCCTTCACTGTATATTTATACTGAAATAGACACTATGTAATACTATATATCTGACTTAATCAATGAAATAGATAAGAGAAAAGCAATTATGATTATAACCTATTATTATCCTAGAAATATTGAACTGGCATCTCACAGATATGAAACAAAGCCAAAATTATATTACTTTCTGTCATTGATATCCGCGATACTGTAAAATTAAGTCGCAGAAAAAAGGTCAATCTTCATTTTATATCATTTACAGTATATGTTTGTAGATAGATGATTAATCCTTCCATTGCTTTGGGGTGTGATTAAAAAAACTTCTGTTACTGTATATTCAGTGGTTTAGTTAGCGAAGCGGAATTATTGGTGAATTTTGCGAATTGACATAAAACGCTAAAATTTCCAATACTGTAAATATCAACCGACCTGTCATTAAATTCTACCCTTCCTCAATTCACTTATATTTCTTCATGCGAAATGTCTGAAATTTTAAATTCGCTAACTTTACGCCACACTAAATTATCCACTTGTACAGTATTATTATAGAGCCTAGACAGGCAACATTGCCAACACTAAAGTCTTGCGTGTGATCTTAGTAGCAAGTGCTCAAAGATTAAAGATTTCAGAGTTCTTAAAAAATCTTTATAATTTTCTGATTTTGTCAATTCTGTTTGTTTTAGGTGACCCAGTAGCTGATGCATTTGCAATATGTGCCAGGGGCAATAACTGTGTAATGTTGATAGCTGATGGAGTAAACTGGGGCGAGAAGTCACGGCTGGCAGCTAGGTGTGCTCTCTACGGCAGTATGGAGTATATAAATAATAGAATATTTAATCTCCGTCGACAACCAACTTCCACACATGTGAGTATTGATTCATGTCAGATTAAGCTCCTTATTATTGAGCGAAGGATCTCCATGGCAGAGGGGTTTAGGTCTCTTACTCAGAATCACTTGCTCCTGACTGCAAAGGGCTTTGTTCACTCATGGCAAAATTTGGCCGCGTCTCAAAATTAGCTTAAACATAATGATATATGTATAAGAGCTTTATATGCAACATTGTAAAACACAAATTTTAGGCACTTTCAAGGGGTAAGTAAACCAAGCCCTTTTGAAATGAGTTGCTTTACCAGCCAACACATACTGGTAAATGTGACATTATGACAAAAGTATGGTTGTTACATAACACTTTACAATAAAATAAAGAAAAATGAGTGCTATTAATGGTTAACTCAGTGTGAGAGTATGCTTTATTGTATTTATATCCACTGATTGATCAATACATTGAGTGGGGGCATGGCTTAGTTGTTGACACATGGGACTAGTAATCTTAATGATTCTGGCCACATGGTTTCAAAATTCATCAGGGGCAAGCCATTGTTTACCTGAGCAAGAAACTTTACACTCATTGCTAAGTATTTGTTGTTTCCAGGAACGCATTTGAGAGTGTTTCAATAAGCTTATAGCCTCCAATGCAGTCAAACTAAAAAATTTGTATAGACTAATACATTGCTGGCATATTGCTTTCGTATTGTCTGCTTCTCTGTAGATAACTCACTATACACCTTGATCATACATGATCTTCACATTAGAAACTAGAGCCTAGTCGATTGGTGAAACATACCTGAAATAAGAAATTTATTATTATTATTACAGACTTCCATTTTATGGTTAATTTTTAAAAAATTGAGGAAATTTTTCTTAATCTGATCATTTTCAGAAGTAAAATAAATACAGTAGTTAAGTATTGGGCACACTATGACCGATAACGTGTTTCATTGCCATTAAACCAAAACAAACAATGGGAGTAGTATTTCCAGATTTCTAGGTAGACATCCAATACACATTTATGAATTTCGTGTAATATATTTTCAGGATGTATTTTTGATTCTACGGAAATCTTTTGACAAGGCACATCTTGAGATAATTGAGAGAGAAGGTGGATTGACAACATTGTGTGCATGTATGGTGTGTCCTGTGAAGAAGTCTACCCAATATGCAGTCTGTTCTCTAAATGTTGGAGACAGTTATGGTTACATCTTCAGCCATAATCAAGGTATTTTTTTTAATTTTTCAAGGAACTGGCATTAAGGTTATATAACTTTTTTTTAGCTCACCTGAGCTTGCTCAGGGTGAGCTTTTAGGATCGATGAATGTCCGTCGTCCGTCCGGCCGTCCACAATTGCTTGTGAACACTCTAGCGGTCGCATTTTTGCCTCAATCATCATCAAACTTGGTCAGGATGCTTATCTAGTTGAAAAGCTCAGATGAGTTCGAACATGGGTCATCTCAGATGAAAAACTAGGTCACAAGAGCTAAAAATAGAAAAACCTTGTGAACACTCTAGAGGTCACATTTTTGACCCAATTTTTCATCAAACTTGGTCAGGATGTTTGTCTAGGTGATAGCTCGGATGAGTTCGAACATGGGTCATCTCGGATGAAAAAGTAGGTCACAGGAGCTTATAAATAGAAAAACCTTGTGAACACTCTAGTGGTCACATTTTTGAACCAAATCATCATCCAAACTTGGTCAGAATGCTTGTCTAGTCAATTGCTTGGATGAGTTTCGAACATGGGTTCATCTCTGATGAAAAAACTAGGTCACAGGAGCTAAAAATAGAAAACCTTGTGACCACTCTAGTGGTCACATTTTTGACCCAATCATCATCAAACTTTGTCAGGATGCTTGTTTAGATAATAGCTCGGATGAGTTCGAATGTGGGTCATCTCGGATGAAAAAACTAGGTCACCGGAGCTATAAATAGAAAACCTTGTTAACACTCTAGCGGTCACATTTTTGCATCAATCATCATCAAACTTGGTCAGGATGCTTATCTAGTTGATAGCTTGGATGAGTTCGAACATGGGTCATCTTCGGATGAAAAAGTAGGTCACCGGAGCTAAAAATAAAAATACCTTGTGTTAACACTTTAGCGGTCACATTTTTGCATCAATCATCATCAAACTTGATCAAGATGCTTGTCTAGGATGAGTTCGAACATGGGTCATCTCGGATGAAAAACTAGGTCACAGGAGCTAAAAATGAAAAAACCTTGTTAACACTCTAGTGGTCACAATTTTGACTCAATTGTCATCAAACTTGGTCAGGAAACTTGTCTAGGTCATTGCTGGGAATAAATCGAACATGGGACATCTCGGATGAAAAACTAGGTCACAGGAGCTAAAAATAGAAAAATCTTGTTAACACTCTAGTGGCTACTGTTGTGATCCAAATATTCTGTTAATTGGTCTGAAAGTTTTGTTATGATGATTTTCTAAGTCAAGATCGAACATGGGTCATCTTGGATGAAAAACTAGGTCACACCGCCCAAATATGGAAAAACCTTGTTAACATTCTAGTGGTCACATTTTCGACTCCATTATCATCAAACTTGGTCAGAATGCTTGTCTAGGTAATTGCTTGGATGAGTTCGAAATCGCATGTGAAAACTAGGTCACCGGAGCTAAAAATAGAAAAATCTTGTTAACACTCTAGTTGCTACTGTTTTTGATCCAAGTATCCTGGAAATTGGTCTGAAGTTTGTTTTTGATGATTTCTCTAGGTCAAGTTTGAATATGTGTCACCTGGGTAAAAAACTAGGTCGCACTGCTCAAATATGGATAATCCTTGTTAACACTGTAGTGGTCACATTTTTGACTCACCTGTCATGAGACTTGGTCAGAATGCTTGTCTAGGTAATTGTTTGGATGAGTTTGATAATTCAGGTGAGCGATCTAGGGCCATCATGGCCCTCTTGTCTGAGTTCTGATTTAAATTGCACGATTTTCATTGGTCAGTATGCTGGTTTCTGAGATCTGAGTTTGAACTTAGAAAAATTCTTCATAAATTTCTGTTATGGATGAACAACAGAACTGTCCAAAAGTCGAGCATGCACCTCATATGCTTGTATAACTCTGTACTAGGGTGTAAATTATACCAGAAATCTTAATGTTTTATTGTAAGTTAATACATAGGTTGACATCACTTTTTATGAATGGATCATCTCCACGTTTATATAGTCTTATATACATATTCGGCTCCTCTCAATGTGAGAAGAAATTTTACTTTTCCTCTAAAAAAAATTAAGTTTACTGTATTTTAAATTCGTTATAAATATTCCTGACAGGTTATATGGCTGTATATAAACAGATGTTTGCAATATAACCCTAGCCTAGTGGCTTAGCTTATATTTCCAAACAACCATTTGTCTATATTAAGGACCATAATTATAACCTGTCAAAAATCTTAATAACTCATAATATATGTGTATATCAGAAATATTTCTAAATCATGTTTGAAAAAATATTTCATAATGTCACAGTGATTGGTTAATATATGAATATGTCTTTCTTCATCTCATATGAATTAATGGGTTTTTTTTCCTAAAAAAATAAAAATGAGTTTGCTATAAAATTTAAAGAAAGGTCCTCTTTGAAGAAGGTTTCTGTAGATAAAGTGCAAAAAGTTATGTTTACATGAAAAAAGACAAAAATAGCTTCAGCATGCATTAAATATAAGTTTTTGTTATGTACATTTAATGAATGTTTTTATTTTGTACTGTTTGAAGGTATCAGAGAGGTCACTCAGGGTTCACATGATGTCTCATTAGTCAGGGACATCCGTGATGCTGGAGGTGCGATCGGACCAGTAGACGGGAAAAATCCTGAACTTCATAATCTTACGTACGGACTTAGCTTCGCAAATCAGGGTGATATTGTGTTCCTTACAACAGACGGTATATCTGACAATTATGATCCAGTCGTTACTAAAATTGCTGTTGCTCCCATTGATCATGTTAAAACAAACAGTGAAAAAGAAAGTGAAAATTCAGACAATGAAGAAGCTACCTCATCCACTTCATGTATAAACGGAAAACCGGAAATGGAACCGAAAGAACGTCATATTTATGCAATGAAGGAAATGGAAAGAATCGTGCATGAACATGAGCTTGTTACAGAAGAGCAAGTGTCTGCTCAGGAATTATGTAGCGCAATAGTTCAACATGTGCTTTTATTGACCGATCAAAAACGGAAAGTGCTAGAAAATCCCGACCTGTACAAACGTAAACGATTGTCACAAAAAGACAAACAGAGAAGGGATTCTGAAATAGTGTCGAAAATGTCAGAAGCCCCTGGTAAATTAGACCATGCTTCTATAGTTTCTTATGAAGTTGGCCAGTGGAAGCCTGATGAAGACGAGATGGACTGTATACCGCTAGAAGGTCCGCAAACATCGGAGTCTGACAACAGCTCTCACCATAGTTCAGTAGATAACACCCATTTAAAAAGTCCTACATCTCCATCTTCCCATAGCAATGTCACGTCCCCTGGGTCAAGTTCAAAGAAAATACGACCAAAAAAATTATTTAACAAATTACGCAATAATTTAAGTATGAGCTCTTCACCAAACTCACCAAGTACAGAACAAAGTCCAGGCGGATCGAATGTTATTACAGCCAAACGTTTTTCTTTTAAACGGACGAGGGCAAAGTCCGAGCCTGGTATCGTCACTCCCACTAGTCCTGTCCATCCAAGAGACTTCCGATCTCCACCATTTGATGATTATAGATACCCTAGATCTCCAGTTAGTCCTACCCCAATGAGTCCTGGAACGCCCTCTGGTGGGCTTCCGGGCCTTCCATTGCCAGCTCCACATCCGTATAGGAAATCCATAGCATTCGAGTCTGCCGTATAATTATTTAACCATAATGTATTTATTCCTTTACAATAATCTGATATTTTTCATCTATTACAATAGATATGAATACATATTTTAAGAGGGACGTCTTCCCAAATTAATCTTTTTGATTCTAAAAACCATAGACAGTTTTGTTATATGATTCTTTTGTGATGATTTTTTTTTAGTTAATTTTAGATTTAACAGGTTGTAGGGATTTATTCAGATGTTTTTACATAGATTATTTATTGTGTTTAATTGATGAAAAACGTGATTTGAAAATTTATGAAAATAAAATTTATATTTACAGAATTAATGTACAATTTTGTCTGAACTTTGAAATTAGATTTTTATTTACAAAATTTAATGACATTTTGGTAGAAATTTTGGTAGGTATTTTTAAGCATGCACAATTAAGCTAAACAGTTGTAATTGTATTTCTGCTATCTTTTGAGTTTTGGTTTTCAAATCTGAATTTTTGTTGTGATAGTGAAAATTTTGTTTGAAATTATTATTTTTTTACCCAAAAGCTGATCAATTTAAATGATTTATTTAGGAAAAAAAATCTCGAGAACCAACAGGGTAGCGTATATTACAGGAATCATTTTTCAATTTTTCATAATTCAGTGTTTGATTAATTAAAAGTGATAAGTAAATTGCATTGAATTGGTACTTAATATTAAGTAAATTGCATTGAATTGGTACTAATCCAAATAAAGCAGGCAGGTGCGTGCCACAAGCAAAATTGGATAATTCACAGTACATTGCAGTGTTGCATCTAGGCCGGGCGATTGCGCGATTTGCGCATATTTCATGCAGATCGCGCATTTTAATGAAGTCAATGCGGGCCAAGTCGCGCATCTGACATTTTTTAAAATTTATTCAGTTTATCTTCATCGTGTCTTGAAAGCTTCAGCCATGTTTGTTTTCACTCGTGGATATGACTAAAATACGTACTAAAAAGCGTGTAGCAGCCGACTGGGTCATCTCGCGTGTGTTTTGTAGTATTCGTCAATATTTTATTTTTTCTACTTCCGTTCTTGAGCGGACGATAGCTGTCAAAAATGCCTGAACGTAAAATAAATGAATTCTTTTCGATAAGTCATAGTGTAAGGTAAATGTATGTCCCCCACATTTTTTTTCAAGTCCCCCACATTTTTCAGTTTAGTGGGGGACAATCCCCCATAATTTTGAAATTCTAGATGCAACACTGACATTGAAACCTTTAATGAGATTTATCTTTTACTAAGTTTAATAATGTTATAAATGAATGATAAAATTTACCAGAAGTTATGCTTAGAACATTTAGATATAGGTTTTATCATTACCACAAGTGTTGCATTATGGTTAAGTTAAGAATATAAAATTTGATTCAGAATATAAAATTTGATACAATACATTTTTTTGAAGCGCAAAATTGTAGAAGACCATGTCAATAACCGTACAGATATTATTATTATTATTTTTTTGTGTGTGTGATCTGACATATTAAAAATAAACGTGTTTTGGGTGAAAATTAAGGACCATGCCAATACCTAACAAAAGTTAATTTTTATGTAATGAAAGAAAAAATGTGCTTGTAAGTGAATAAGTTAAAATATTTACTCTTTTGTTATGAAAACCAAATCTTATGCAAAAAATTTACAAATCTTTTTTATTTTTATTGCGATGAAAACCAAACCATAAAGATACCTTATATGTTATGATTAAACTTAAGTTTTCATCAAACTTAAGATAAACTCACTTTTGTGCTGAAATTGAAAAGAAAATGTTCATTAAGCCTGTAAAGATTTTAACTTTTATAAGTAAAATGAAACAAGAAAAAAAATCAACTTCTATTGGTGCAGAAAATTTGAAGAAAAGACCATACTATACAAATATTTTTACCCTGAAACTATAGTGCAATTTTATTTTTATTACCTCTATAACAGTTGCAGACTGTGGCCTCATTTTTGCCATTATTTTAATCATTATTTCATGGATACATTGTTATTAACTCATTTGAATTTTTCATCTGCAAAATAACCCAAAATTTGTTGTATCATTAAAATTTGATTCTTGAAGACAATTGCTGCAGTTCTTAAATGAACATTCAGACAGAATGTGATTCTTAATCTACCCTTAAAATAAAAAAAAAAATAAGGAAAAAGATAACAATAAAAATAAAAGGGCAGATAACTCAAATATGTAATCATAGACCATCAATTTACAAGGCCTGGAAGTTCTTTTGTTTCCGAATTGCAAATTTTAAATAAATTTTTAGCTCACCTGTCACAAAGTGAGCTTTTGTGATCGCTTTTCGTCCGGCGTCCGTCCGTCGTCCGTCCGTAAACTTTTACTTTAAATGACATCTCCTCATAAACCACTAAGCCAATTTCATCTAAACTTCACAGGAATGTTCCTTTGGTGGTCACCTTTAAAAATTGTTCAAAGAATTTAATTCCATGCAGAACTCTGGTTGCCATGGCAACCGAAAGAAAAAACTTTAAATATCTTCTTTTAAAAAACCATAAGAGCTAGAGCTTAGATATTTGGCATGAAACATCTTCTAGTGAGTGTTTACCAAGTTTGTTCAAATAAAAGCCCTGGGGTCAAAATTGGCCCCGCCCCGGGGGGTCATTGATTTTCCCTATATGCATATAGTAAAAACTTAAAAAATCTTCTTTTAAAGAACCCAAAGAGCTAGAGCTAAGATATTTAGCATGAAACATGTTCTAATGGATGTCTACCAAGTTTGTTCAAATAAAAGCCCTGGGGTCAAAATTGGCCCCGCCCCAGGGGGTCATTGATTTTCCCTATATGCATATAGTAAAAACTTAAAAATCTTCTTTTAAAGAACCAAAAGAGTTAGAACTAAGATATTTAGCATGAAACATGTTCTAATAAGTGTCTACCAAGTTTGTTCAAATAAAAGCCCTGGGGTCAAAATTGGCCCAGCCCCGGGGGGTCATTGATTTTCCCTATATGCATATAGTAAAAACTTAAAAAATCTTCTTTTAAAGAACCCAAAGAGCTAGAGCTAAGATATTTAGCATGAAACATGTTCTAATGGATGTCTACCAAGTTTGTTCAAATAAAAGCCCTGGGGTCAAAATTGGCCCCGCCCCAGGGGGTCATTGATTTTCCCTATATGCATATAGTAAAAACTTAAAAATCTTCTTTTAAAGAACCAAAAGAGTTAGAGCTAAGATATTTAGCATGAAACATGTTCTAATAAGTGTCTACCAAGTTTGTTCAAATAAAAGCCCTGGGGTCAAAATTGGCCCCGCCCCGGGGGGTCATTGATTTTCCCTATATGCATATAGTAAAAACTTAAAAAATCTTCTTTTAAAGAACCCAAAGAGCTAGAGCTAAGATATTTAGCATGAAACATGTTCTAATGGGTGTCTACCAAGTTTGTTCAAATAAAAGCCTTGGGGTCAAAATTGGTCCCGCCCCGGGGGGTCATTGATTTTCCCTATATGCATATAGTAAAAACTTAAAAAATCTTCTTTTAAAGAACTCAAAGAGCTATGGCTAAGATATTGAGCATCAAACATGTTCTAATAGGTGTCTACCAAGTTTGTCCAAATAAAAGCCCTGGGGTCAAAATTGGCCCCGCCCCAGGGGGTCATTGATTTTCCCTATATGCATATAGTAAAAACTTAAAAAATCTTCTTTTAAAGAACTCAAAGAGCTATGGCTAAGATATTTAGCATGAAACATGTTCTAATAAGTGTCTACCAAGTTTGTTCAAATAAAAGCCCTTGGGTCAAAATTGGCCCGCCCTGGGGGGTCATTGATTTTCCCTATATGCATATAGTAAAAACTTAAAAAATCTTCTTTTAAAGAACCAAAAGAGTTAGAGCTAAGATATTTAGCATGAAACATGTTCTAATAAGTGTCTACCAAGTTTGTTCAAATAAAAGCCCTGGGGTCAAAATTGGCCCCGCCCCAGGGGGTCATTGATTTTCCCTATATGCATATAGTAAAAACTTTTTGGGGGTTGGGGGGGGTCTATATACAGGTGAGCGACCTCAGGGCCATCATGGCCCTCTTGTTTAGATCAGTTTTCAATAAGCCTTTACACATATATGTTTATTTAACAACTGCAGAGAACATCTTTAAGTTCTGCCTTCCATAGTTTGTTTGTAGTAAGAGGCCAGTGTTAAGGTAACAGTTACAAGATTTGTATCTTCCTACCATTTACATATTGTCAGATAATTTTCATATTAATGTCTCATATATTGATGATACAATTATTTAATTCTGTGAGTATTTATGTAAAGAGTTACAAGTTTATTTCACTAGAGGAATTCTTGTTACATTAATTTTGTGACATTTTCTTAAATGGTCTATAACTATAAGATATTGTTTACATATTGCTATGGCTATATCTGGAAAGTTTTGTACGAAAAGCGTCTCTTCAGTTTAACACAAATTTGTTAAATAAAAGAAACAAAAAAAAACCAGAATAAAACATTCCCTAACATAATATTCAAGTGCTATTTCAAAGAAGTTGTATGTAACAGATATTTAACATGATTTATCAGTAATTTACAAACATAACGAATGTGCAGGCAGGCCTGGGTCTATATTGGTGGCAAAGGCTATAGTGAACAGTTCTAAAGTCAACATGAGGCAAATTCTGTAATAAAATTGAAATTTATTAAAGGAACTCCGCTGAGGTTCAAACAGCATAAAAACATAATATTGGATTTTTACATAGATCAAGTGTGGCACTTGAAAACAAAAAGATATGCAAAAGGGTATTAAGATATATACTCAGAAATAAACTGTAGATCATATTGTTGTGCTATTTATAGACATTAGTCCAATTTGATGAAGCCCAATTTGAGTGAAAAGTGTTAAAATGCTTTTTATTGTTTGCTCATTTTTATGATATGAATATTTATTCAGGAAAATTGGACTGTGCGAATAATCTGAAATTTTGCACAAAAGTTATTGGCCAAGACTTTTACATCAATTGGAACATAAGTCTCAAAAAATTATTTCCAGTCCCAACATGTCAAAAAACCTCAGTGGAGTCCCTTTAAGAAGTATGAAAATGTTCAAAGATAGGTATAGATTGTTAAAAGTTTAATCCAGGACAAAGTCCATGACAAAGAAGTATCTGGATAAAATAATACAGATGTTTTATTTAAACAGCTTATCTGTTACGTAATTTTAGAAGTATGCTTTATCATATAGAAGAAAAGAACTGGTTTACTTTATGTTGGTGACAATATGTTGTTTAATGATTAATGCCTTAGATATATCTGATGTTATCTTTTTTTCGAATAAAAGGTGCTGAGGAGTGACATAATTCTTCCAAATAATAAATTAATCAAAATATAGAAATTTGTGATACTTTAATTGCCAACATAAATGTTCAAATAAATAGAGCTGTCATTGATTCAGTTCAGAGAATATCTATGATATATCAATATTGGATGACAAATGTTGACAACACATCAATCCAGTATATATATCCAGTATTTCTTACCATTATTTCCATTGTTTTCATGATTTCATTTTTCATGATTTCAGTAAAATACATGTTCAATGCTTACAATTATGATGTGTATTATTTATAGATGCCCCCTTTGCATGTTTCGATTTTTCTGACCATTTTATGTCAGTACTGTTGTATGATTTTTCCGTTAAGTAACAACAGAATAGATTTAGACTTAACCTTCTGCAGGGGCACCTGCTTCTATGTATCTTTTGGATGAACTGTCATAATTTCTTGACATTTTACTTTTATTACCCATTTTTTCAATGGACCAACAGAAAAATATAGACAGTACATCAGGGTTGTTCAATCAGTGACAGCTCTATAAATAAATATAATATGTCAGTGCAGCCTAAAAAATTGTTTGACCTTTGACCAGGCAAACTTTAATTTTTTTTCATCTACCTTATGAAAGACATTTATTCATATGTGTTTGGTTGAGTCCATTTTGGTCAAGCCGAAATTACAAGACTGGTTTTAAATTGTCGATCTTGATGTTTCAGAAAGTTTGGAAAATTTGTGTTGAAACTAAATATGTTCTGTACTATTACATGATATAATATCAAAAAACATGATGTTATTACAGTAAACATTTTGTTATTACAAGCAACTTGAGGTAATTGGTGGAAACAAGATTTTTTTTACTGGAAACATGAAAATATTACTTGTGGTCAGTAAACATTTTGATATTACAATAAATATTATGTTCTTGCAGGAAACATGATGCAATTAAAATAAACATGTTGTTACTGGAGTAAACATGATGTTATTGCATGAAACATATTGTTAATGAAGTACACATTATGTTAATGAAGTAAACATTATTTCATTACTGGAAACATGATGTTTTTACAGGAAACATTATGTTTTTTCAG